AGGGTGGTTAGAAGCATCTCTGTTCCCTGCAGTTGGAGGCTGAAGCTGGGGCCCAGGCTTCCTTCCCTCACCTGCCACAAAACCCAAGAAGTATTTCCTGGGACTGTGCCACCCAGCACAGCCTCTTCCCAGGAGATGGCACTGTCTGAGCATCTGAGCCTGGCTTGGAGCCGGGCACTGAAAGGAATTTTCATTGCCAGAGGATAAAGAATAAGTCTTTACTTTGATTTTTTTTGGGGGGGTGGTAGAGTGGGGGGGACACAGGGAATTGAACCCAGAGGTACTTAACCACTGAGCCGCATCCCCAGTCCATTTTTTATTTTATTTAGAGACAGGGTCTCTCTGAGTTGCTTAGGGCCTTGCTACATTGCTGAAGCTGGCTTTCAACTCACCATCCTCCTACTTCAGCCTTCCAAGCATTCCCCACCGCCACTGCCACCGCCAGATATCAAGTCCTTAATTTGAACCACCACTGTCCAATAAAAACAATGTATGCCACATGTGTAATTTTACATATTCTAGTAGCCACACACGAGATCAGGAGGAACAGATGAAAAAGGAAAATATATATATATATCCCTCCCCCGCCGCAGTACTGGGAATTGAACCCAGGGTGTTTCTAAGACTGAGCTACATCTACTGGCCTATTCTTTTTGTCTTTTCTTTCTTTAATTTTTGAGATTGCATCCAGAATTACCCAGGATGTTCCTGACCTTGGACTCCACCTGTCTCAGTATCCCAAGTAACTGGGATTAGCAGGATACCACCATGTACTGTTAATATTATTATTATTTTTTAAAGACAGAGAGAGATGAGAGAGAGAGAGAATTTTAATATTTATTTATTTATTTATTTTTTAGTTCTCGGTGGACACAACATCTTTGTTTGTACGTGGTGCTGAGGATCGAACCCGCGCCGCACGCATGCCAGGCGAGCGCGCTACCACTTGAGCCACATCCCCAGCCCCGTACTGTTAATTTTACTATATTTTATTTAACCAAATACATCCCAAACCTGTGATCAATATGAAAATACTAATATTTCAGCCACATTCAGTGGCACATGCCTGTCATCCCACCAGCTCAGGAGGCCAAGACAGGAGGATCAGGAGTTCAAAGTCAGAAACTTAGCGAGACCTAAGTAATTTAACAAGTCCTGGTTTCAAAATAAATTATAAAAAGGGCTAGGGATGTGTCTCAATAATTAAGCTCCCTGGCATTCAATCTCTGGTACCTAAAAATAAAATTAATATCTTATGTTCTTTGTTTTGATACCAAGTCTTCAAAACGCAGTACACATTTTATACTTAATAGCACATCTTCATTTGAACACTAAATTTTCACCAAAATTGTTGATCTCTATTTCTTTTTTTTCTTTCTGATCTTTTTTAAATTTCATAAAATTTA